TTTCTTTCTTTCTTTCTTTCTTTCTTTCTTTCTTTCTTTCTTTCTTTTCTTCTAAAAGGTAATGGCTGCCCATCTTACCATAGGATAACTGTCGGTGGCTTACAGTCATAAAAATATGTCTTTCTAATCTAATACACACACACACACAAATTGAAATCAAGCATTTTAAAATATAAGGACGTGAGGAGAACAGGGTGGAGTGGGGGGAAAGTGGGATCTTTTGTTACTCAATCAACCACCTCCACTCTGCTATTCACACACTGGGGCCCCAAGCCAGCTGGCAGAGCCTTTAGGCCCTTACAAAAAGATATAGAAATATTATTCATATCCCATCCCTAAAGAAAGATGATGTAATAGTTGCAAAAGTGATGTGTGAATAAAATAATGTTACGATTTGTTGTAGAAGCTGGTTAATGCAGTAATTTTCCCTTAAGAACAGTTTCCCAGTTTCTTGGTGTAACCCACTCTCTCACCTTTCTATACTGAAAGTATCTCATATTGTTTGTCCTACCACTTTAAAGCAAACAAGCCTGCTTTACTGTTTTCAATAGAAAAGAACTCACGTTGAAATTAGTCTTTTAGCACTTTTATTTTATTACCAGAAATGTACTTACATCATGTTACAATGCATGCTTGTAAATTAGATAACCACATGGTTACCAAATTTTATTTTAAAAGATCAGCAGAAGCATCTTAGGTAATACTATCTTGCCATATAAAGTTGCTGGAAAGTTTGTTTTTATAACCGGGGATCAAGATTCTTTTGAAAGAAAAGTTATCTCTTTTTTTCAGGGTAGATGAATTAGAGAACCAGTTACAGCACGTTAAAGAGAGAGTTGAAATAAACTCTGAACCTGAAGATCAATCTACTGATGGTGAATTATTTGCTGAACATAGGTTGGTCTTCTGATTTCAGTGTACTAATTGCTTTGTCATGTTGTTACAGTTAGTCATATTCATACTCTTTGTTATATTTAGTCATATTCTAACTTTTTCTTCTGTAAACTACTCCCTTTCTTAGTTTTCTAGTTATTTTAACATTATACTTGTTTGGATACATTGTCTTTTAGTATCTGTATCTATGTATCATGCTTAACCATAGTTTGATGTCATATGCTGAGTTTATCAACATCCTAATCCAGATACATACATAGATAAATACATAATTATGTTTTAATACAACACATGAACTTAACATAATTCTTGAGTTGCTCTGACTCCTAAAGTTCTTCTCCTTTCATAGCAGCTGCTTTATAGGATACTAAAGGGATTGTATTGAAAGTGAGTTGCCCACATTCTGTTTAAGTACAAATCTCATTCAGGTCAATAAACTGAGGTGAATTATCATCCAAGTTATTGTGCTTTAAATTCTTTTTAGCGTATATAATTTTGTCTTTCAGAGAATTTATAGAAAAATACTCATTCAGCCAGGATGCTATTCCCGACCAGCACCCTGGAGAAAACATATTTCAAATAGTGAATGCTGGGAAAATCTTCAACCAGAATAATCTTGATTTGAGAAACTTTGATTTTCATCCTCAAAATCTGATTGAAAAATATCTTCTTAGGTAAGAATGGATCCTTTAATGTTTGAATGTGTAGGCTAACTTTGAAAATACTAGAGCAACCTTAATATGTGGTGTTTCTGCAGATCTGGAATAACACAGCAGCTTTTTGTAACTATTGAAGGCTTACTTGCATCTACTTACCATAATTGTCCTTGTCCCGTACCAATTTTAAAATGGATGTTTCAGGTAAGGTATCTTTTATTTTGTCTTGGATGGATGTAATTAAATACATAATGAGCATGGACTATAATTAGTTCACAACTTTAGTTTTCTGCATTGCTTGTTTCCATATTTCCATTCTTGACTGTTAGTTGTTGAAACTTGATCACTTGCCAAATACAGAAAAGTGGATGGGTTTTTTACATTTTTAGCCAGTATTCTTGCCATGTTGCGATATCCATAAGAATAGCATTAATGTATAGAATGAATATTCTCATTTCATTACTTCATTTTAGAAAACAATTATAAGATTATATTCAATAATGCTAAAAAATTATCTGACATTTTGCATTTCGCATTTTCAGTGTGCTTGCCTGTTGTTTTTCCCTTCTACTTCTTTTGGAGATTGTACTGTTTATTTGACATGCTGGATGTAGGAATACCAAAAGTACCCCGGGCCATTGATTTTGTCTGAGAAACTAGTCAGTTTAGTAATCTACTTTAGCTTTATTCCCACATCAAAAGGGGGTTCCATAAGGACATGCATGGCTTTTAGAAAAAGCTGTACTATATTTGAACATAGTGTTTTGCTAAATCACTTACAAATCACTATATTCTGTTGTTGGGAAGCAGATGTCTCTTTTTTAAAAAATTGTGAATACACTTGAAAATTTGAAGAATTATTATTGGCACAATGGCTGCAATAGACCTATGTACTCACAAAGGACAAAGTAAAGTAAACAATTGCTCCTAGACAATATATCCATTTCAGAGAAAAAAAGGTGTTGTTCTGAGAAATTCCAGATTCTCAAAAGCACACTAGTAAAATCTTCCTCTCAAACATGTGGAACAAATTTAGAAGAAAAAATAATCTGTGAAGCATAAAGTCTTCATTTCAAAAACCTCTAAAAAAGCAAAGACAGAACTTAGCTGGCTGGGAATGTTTTAGAGAAAATTTACAGTCCTATTCCAGTGTTTTTCAATCTTAACAAGTTGAAGATAGGTGGACTTCAACTTCCAGACTTCCACAGCTAGCTTTGGTTGAGATATACTGTCCATTTCTATTCTTCCAAAGAATTGGGGCAGGAGAAGGATCAGGACATAGCAATTTCTTACGGTATTCAAAGGCATCATGTTGCAATCCCAGTGTTAAGAGCGGTTGTATTAGGTTCTATCTAAATCTGTAAAAATGTTTTAATTTGCTAAATAAGTTTTTTTCTCAAACAGATGATGTCAATTCACCCAGATAGCACAGTTTCAAGAAAAATTTTGGATACGTTGATGCTATTAACAATTAGAAATTGTAAGTGTTTGAATTAAAACTTGAGACCTTGCAATCTTACTTGCATAATTCACTCAAAAGAAACCTGATTAAATTCTGCTGTTAACTTAAACTGATTAAGCTAAAAAAAAGTAATATGAATGACAGGATTCCTATTCCAGATTGTGCCTTATAGCTTTACCAATATAATAAAAAGTATGTTAGTATATCTACATAGAAACTGGAACTAAGTTGATGCAACTAATTGATAGCAAAACGGATTCAAGGAGAGGGCTTTAGAATATACAATTCAAAAGATATTCTGTGCAGATAAAATATTTTCATCCATTTTCTCAGCTTTATAACATTGATTATATCTCACCGGCTCAAGGTTGACTCAGCCTTCCATCCTTCCGAGGTTGGTAAAATGAGGACCCAGGTTGTTGGAGGCAATATGCTGACTCGGTAAACTGCTTAGAGAGAGCTGTAAAGTACTGTGAAGCAGTATATAAGTCTAAGTGCTATTGCTATTAAAGATACATGCCCTTCTGAATGTTATTATATAGAGCAGAAATACAAACTATAGGAAAAATATTTTAAAAAATACAGTTCAGTTCAAGAAACATAATTGCTGTAATCTTAAAAGAATGTTGTGATCATATCACATCTGGTTATTTGTTAATTCTGCTCTGCTTACTGAATAAAAAATACAGTTATTCTTAAATGAACTCCAGTTTCTCTGGCTTGAAGAGAAAATTGTCACTTTTTTCTCTCTGCAGTTTCTGATAAGAATGACAAACAGAAGCCATGGATTCCATCATTATTTGATATAACAACTGTGTTAATCAATATGGGTATTTCCTTCAATGTGTTATTTCCTTTGCAACATTTTCAGCCTGGCTATACTGAAAATGATATTATGTAAGTATTTAGCAAAAGGTTATAATCTGAAGTATGTAATCTTTAGGACTTGTCCCAAAATTTGTCACCAATCAATAATTTTGTGATGCAAAAGGAAAATCTCATGTAAACGTAAATGAAGTCAAATTTAGTTTGTGTCCTGGCCCACCCTTGTTTTAGAAGTGGGTTTTCCAGCATGACAAAGTCCAATTATGACCTTTGTGCTGGGAAAAAAAAATCCCACTTCTGATGTGTGTGTACACATCCAAAAACATCCACAAACAAAATTCCTCTTCTGTTGATGCAGCTCAGGCAAAATAAAAGATTGAACAATCCTGACTTAAGCCTTTGTTTTTGTGATTTTTCTAAAACTCAGATTGCTATGAGTCTGGGACTTGTTACAGTATGGACCTCATCCCTACCACATTATGCAATAAAATTATTAGTTTTGAAATTTTAAAATACAGAATATTCTTTCTAGGTTATCCCTTCATAATCGGATACATGTGGGAATGAAATATGTAATAAACTATATGGAAACAAGTCTCTTTTTTTAACCAGGTCTGAAATGCACGTAACTGTGAATAAACAATCAAAAAGAGACATCTGTATAAACCCAACAACTTACTTTCTTCTAATAGAGAGCAATCTTTGCAATATAGCAAAGGTAAGAATGGTGCTTTGTTTTTAAAAGTCCTCTGTTGAGTATAAGAATATGTCTTCTTTAACTGAAAATTGTTAGTAGTTGCTGGAATTTTCCTTGCAAAAGTAGTTTAAGATGCACAGGAAAACATTTCTGTAAGATAGAGAAAATTAACAGAAATTTAATATAATAAAATGTTGAAGGTTTTTTTAAAATCCTTTATATAATACGGTATATTGCTGCCTTTAAAAAGTCCACTAGAATCAAGGATACATTCAGAATGTACACACACCAATACTGCTTTTGAAATTTATACTTGCAGCCAAAATTAATATTGCTAAAAATATTTGAAGTCATTATCTCTCTTTTTCTTTCGTTAAGTTTCTACAGCTGTGTATAAATGTATGTCCAGAAGGTTACACAGACAGAGAAATATTTATATTGCTACTGCTACTATCTAAATTAAGTTTGGAAACACAACTGAAGCAATTTCCACTAGTAGACTTGGAGTGCCTTGTTATAAAATTGCTTGAAAATATCAGAAACTGGGATACTGAGGTAACTTAATTTGTGCTAATTTATTGCATTTTGAGAAGATCCAATTTTTAACGTTATAAAAACTAGGCATCAATTAGCCTTAGGCTTTCTTTAAATTATATGCTCTAATGCATATATATATGCTACCTGCTCACTTTGTGTTACCACAATGGGTAAACCTGCCCAGAAGAAACCATAATTTATTTTTAGTAATAAAAAATATTTTTAAAAGCATTATTCAGACTGGATTTTTGTTTAATAACGAAAACAATCCAGAAATGTTCTATAAAAGCTGTAATCATTTTGATCATCTGCAAAAGTGATGTTAAAAAACTCCATTTTGATGTTAAGAGCAATTATAATCAATGGGTTTAATTATGTTTTGTGGAACTGAAATATCTAATAAAATATAGTTAAACCATTTACAGGTAATTACGGTTAGATGCCTTAAATAGAAATATTTTTGAATAATGGGAGCATTTTAAGTTGTAGTGCTGATAGTCAACTTTTGTCTTTTCAATAAATATAAAATATTAAGAAATATTAATGTAATAAGCCAATGCCTATCAAATACATGCTATGAATAGTCTTTAAATATAATAAATAATTACACGTATTGTCTAACAATTGCATACACACTGATACTGAATTTAGCAATTGCTTTCAAATTCTAGTAACAATTTTTTTCTTTCTCTTTTAAAAAGATGTCCCAGTTATCCTTGGCAATAAGTTGTCTATCCAACCACCATCATAATCTCTTGTGGCTTGTTCAGTTTGTCCCCAATTGGACAACTCGTGGGAGGTAAACTTTTAAGACAATATCACTTACTGTAGTATGCTTATCAGAATTCATGTCAAAAGCACCAAATTATAGCTCATATATTTATGTTAACTTTATTCTTCTAGACAAATAAGACGACATCTTAGCTTGGTAATAATCTCAAAACTTCTTAAAAGCCATGTGAAAATACCCAGTACCCATGATCATCAGGTAGAGTATATTCTTTCATTAGAACAATAGTTTGTTGGAGTTAAGACTTGTTTTCTCAGTGAAGGGAGCTTTTTTAATTACATATTTTGAATTTGACTGTCTAAGTGCTTGTGTTGTTCTTTAAAGCCTGCTAGGAGTCTAGCTCAGTTACTTAAAAAGAGCATGTACCCTTCTTGATATGTTATGGAGGTAGTTTAGTTATCCTTCTTCTGGACGTTTGTTTTAACTTCCTAGGTTAGTCTACAGCCCTAGAATTCACAAGTAGTCCCAGGGTTGAATCAGTGCATGTGTCTAATAAGTGGAGCATAAATTCACATTACTAATCTCACCATCCTGCTAATTCATGTTCCTTCCATTTCTTTATATGGATAAAAAAATTACTTCTCTTTTATTGGTGTGCAACTTTCATGTACTTGAGAGCTGCACCCACTATTGCATAGCAAATTAAAAGCTACACCAGAAAATGGATGAGACATGGCTTTATTTTTTATATTTTACATAATATATTTTATTTATATTCATTATTTTAAATTTCTAATTGTTTAATTTCTATCTTCAGTGTTATGGACTCCATTCTATATTTATTTCTGCAGCAAAATTTATCCCCAACGCTGCATCTTATTATGCTATTATATAGGATGAGTGCAATATGTAAGAAGGCACAGCATTGAGAATGGCAAAAGGCAGAGACTATGGAGAAAGGCAAGTCAGTGATTTAGGCATACAGAAAAAATAATCAGGGAACAGATAGGGGAACTAGAGATAGACAAAACAGTGGAAATGGTAGAAACAATGAGCAGAAAGTAAGCCAAAGAGAAAGAAACAGAAGAAAATGTCAAGGACAGCTGTGCTAAGGGGGAGATTAGATACCACGTGGAAGAGAGATTGTCAGTTGCAGCCAAATATCTTGCTTGGTTACATATGGCCCCAACGCTATATTTTTTTATTCTTCTTTTATTTAAACTTGTAAACACAGCTTATTCAAGGTTGGTATTTAAATTCTAATGTATCTTCTGAAGGTTTTCAAAATTTAGATAAAGGGAAGAATAATCTTCATCTACTTTATTTCAATTCAGAGCTGCTCTTATATTCATATAGATTAATTTCTTTTGCTGTGATAGTCCCTCCTATTTTATTCCTAGCATCAGGGTTTCAGAAGCTGCATGCATAAAGATTTTGAGGAAACACCCTCCCTCCTCCTGCAGTGTTTTAGTTTCTAAAATGATTTAAGATCATTCTTTTCAAGATTGGAAAAAAAACCCCATAATGTGAACTGTATTGCACTCTAATCTCCCAATAGATGTCATTACTGTGTAAGGAGCTAGTGAAGATGAAACCTTCAGGTCTGTTAAAGAGGCTGTCAGAAACTTCAGGCCATGATGATGGTGTTACAGGGCCTTTTCTTTCTGAATCTGAACACCAGGTAATATGTTTTTTTTTTTTAAGTAGGTTAGGCAAGATATGTTGACTCTAAACTATATTTGTGGTTATTGGTGATTTAAGAGATGCTCATGTTTCATGAGGTCACATAACCAAGTTGCTATTCTATGTGCAGCAGAGTGAATGTGTGTAATGTTAATGGACTCAAGAATTCATTTGAAAAAATTCCTTCACTGAAAAGGAGTAATGTATAAGTGTTGATATTAAAAGTGAAGTTCTCTGATCTGATCATGAATTATCAAGAAGTTTCTTAGTTCCTCTTTTATATACCGGAAAAGATTACATGGTGGGGAGTGGGAATAAATGATATATTGTTTAGTTCTGATATTCTTATAACCCTTTTTCTTTCACTTCAATAAAACCCATTAAGAAAATGCTGTGTGATTCATGTTTGGGAAAAAGATTATTCTCCATTGGAGAACTTTGGCAACTGCCAAAGAGTCTGACATGCAAGTCCTAGTATGCAAGTAGCAGAGTGAATGGCAATAGTGTGAGAACCCACAATGTGTGTAGGTGTTTTTTTTTTTTTATGAATTCCTTCCTTTTTAAAATATAAACATACAGGGAATCTTTGACTTATGACCACTATTGAACCCAAAATTTCTGTTGCTAAGCAAGGTAGTTGTTAAGTGAGCCACCTCATGTTATGACTTTTTTGCCACAGTTGTTAAGCAAATCATAAAGTTGTTAAGTGAATCTGGCTTCCCCCATTGATTTTGCTTGTGGAAAGCCAGCTGGAAAAGTTAGAAATTATCAAATACCCTGGGACTGAGTGCAGCTGTCATAAATACATGCCAGTGGAGAAGTATCTAAATTTTGATTACATGATCACAGAGATGCTGCAATGGTTACAAGTGTGAAAACTGGTAATAAGTCACATTTTTCAGTGCCATTGTAACTTTAAACAATCACTAAAAGATTGGCAATAAGTTGAGGATTACCTGTATTTTTTTAACATGTTTTAAGAACATAAATTTTCTTACACTATTTGCAGATGGTTGAGAGTTCAACATATAATTGTATCTTTTCCCATACAATTGGCACTGATAGTTTTAAAGTCTAGCACTTCAGCAGCTGAACTACCTGAAAAAGTCTGGTGGGTTCCTTATTCCCAGAAACTTGGTAGCTTTTTAAGTAACCATTTTTACTAAATGTTGCCTTCTTTTTTTTCTAGGCTTATTATCTGACTTATGTCCTCCTTCACTTGGTTAGGGAAGCTAGCAATTTTGAGCGTACAAGTTCCAATAAAAGAGTAAGTAATTTGCTTAAATTCTTTCATTAACATGTAAACAGTTTTTTTATGAAGATACATCTACTATGTGTTGGAAATCAATGAAATTTGACTAGTGTTCTATTCACATAAATAACAGATTCCCAGTTCATACATGTGGCTATAATCTTTGATGATAAAGCTTCCATAGACAGTACTTTATTAAGGAAAATTTGATTTGTGAAGATCTGGTTATTGATTTCCAGTTAATATTGTATATGGACTACTCAAAATATGACCATACTTACAACCCATTTTAGGACTTGAATTAAATTGCTCGTTGGGCCTTCTTCATACTTTAATTAAAATATAGTACTGAAGTATCAGGCTGCAGTCAATGATTTTCTATTCTGTATTCCATACTCAGTAGCACTGATGATGTTACCTAGTTGGCTAATGAAATGTCTACAAACAAGCAACCACGTTCAGAGACCACCAAAGGACTCCCCAATTTCTAATGCAGCTACGATAGTCTTGCAAATGATATGGCTGCTTTAGTAATCCAAAAAGAAGTGCCTCTTAGATGCTTCTATCTAAAGTTGTGTCCCTTTCAGATGTTTCTGGGAGTTCTTGTTACTTGCTTTTCTCCAAGTTTGTCTGATTTCAGGTTTTAAGTAGAAGCTTTGGGAGGAATAATATTTCCTGTGGGTTGAAAAAATTAAATAATTTGACAGAAAAATATTTACTGTTAATATTTATCAATATTATTTCAATTTATTTTTGTTTCCACCATGATGAAAAGGTTAGATATAAATGACTAACACCACAATGTACTAACTCAAACAGAAGAGGCCTACAGAAATTCTTGACTCCTTTCCTTATGTGGGCAGATAGGATGCACAGTTCCAAATGTAGTATATCCTATACTTTATGAGTAATATAAAAACACTCAACTACAAAGTCCAGTCTTGATACATACAAGTTAATCCTCAACTTACAACCATTTGTTTAGTGACCATTCAAAGTTACAGTGGCACTGAAAAAAGTAACATGACTTTTTCATACAACCATTGCAGTATCACTAGTCACATGATCAAAACTCAGATGTCTGGTAACTGGCATGTATTTATGATAGTTACAGTGTCCTCGAGTCGTGATTTTTTTTATGACCCTCTGACAAGCAAAGTCAATGGGGAAGCCAGGTTCACTTAACAACCATGTTACTAACTTAACAGCTGAAGTGATTCACTTAACAACTGCCAAGCAAGGTCATAATTTATTAGCAATGGAAAGTTTGGGCTCATTGTGGTTGTAAGTTGAGGGTTACCTATATTGAGGTAGATACTTGTTTACGCAGTCAACTTCTAAGCCATTTAGGGTTGTGGATTTTTAGAAGTGGAAAGACAGAATAGAAATGCCTAAGTAATTTGTAATCATTTGTGACATGACTATATTGCAAAGCACTAAAAATGTACAATATACTGCAGCTTTACAAATTTTGGACAAAATGTTAATATTATTTGCACTTACAAACTACAGCAACAATAGGTTGAAATAACATGTTTAATGTCCTTTTAGAAATGGCTGTTAAGACTCTGTAGCATCCTAGAAAAACATGTAAAGTGTGATATTAGGGAAGATGTCAGACTGTTTTACAGAACTAAGGTGAGTTTGTCTTTTCTCATCCTGGAAGATATGCATTTTAAAATTTGTCTTTGCCATTACAACAGTTTACCTTTGATCATTCTTAACTGTGGATTCTGAAGCCTTTGAAGCAGTTCCTACTTTCTTAGGCATGACAGTAGATACAAAAAATCTAACACATAAAAAAGAAAAGTCTGGATATCAACAAGTAGGAAATTTTGTTTCTTTCTCAGGTATCAAGTCTGGGGTTTCAGTCAATATGCAGAAATTAAACATGTATTTAGATATATGTGGAGTGTGTTATATTGGGGTGCCAGGAAGTTTTTTGCGTTGGTTTTATTTATGTTTTACTGTTTCAGTATTACAAGATTCCACAGATTATGCTATATAAGACGAGTGGTTATGTAAATCTTTCAAATAAATGTATATAAAATCTGAGAAGACAAGTTTGCAAATAAGTTTCCTTCTACCTCACCCAAATGAGAGAAAAAACCCCACGTCAGTGTTACTGATTCCATTTAGGTTCTATAATATTGATGGAAAGGGTATTTAACAGAAATGTATCCAGAAAATTAGAAGCAACTCTTAATTTCATAAGGTACAGGAAGCCCTCAACTTAATGACAGACATTGGGACTAGAGTTTCCCAGTAAGTTACTACTTTAAGTAATAAAGTGTGACTATATTGCTTAGTGATGGCAACTCCTGCAGTTCTGGTTGCCATTGTTAATCAAATCCCATTATTATTAGGCAAGGCAATTTCCTGCTGACTTGTTATGATCAAAGTTCAATGGGGGAACCAGTAGGAAGTTGCAAGTCCCGAGCCAGATAAATGGCTGCTATTGGATGGAAGAGTGCCAAGTGCAGAGGAGGAGGTACACAAGGGTTTGGGGGAATGCACGAGAGGCACAACACGGGGCTGTGGGAAGGGGTGCAGGAATGCAAGAGAGGGTTGGAGAAGAGTGTAGGAGTGGGTGCATGAGAGGCACAAGCCAGGGATGGTGAGAAAGAGATGATCAGGAAAGGTGCATGAGTGACTGGTGCAGCATGAAGCAAAGAGGGGGCTGGTGAAAGATGCATGGTGGGGGGAAGACTTACCCCAGCAACTTACAGCCTTCCATGCTGACTTTCTCATTAACTTTCTAGTGAGGCCAGCAAGAAGGATGCAAATAGCAATCCTATGATCATGAGGCACTGTAACAGGTGATTTGTTGCCAGGCACCCAGATCACAATCATGTGATTGCTAGGGTGCCTGGGATGGCCAGAACACTAGGACCAGTTGTAGCCACCATTCATTCGGCACCATCCATAACTTTGAACAGCTACTGAATGAATGGTCGCACGTCAAGGTCTACCTGTAGTTCACAATGCCAGCAACATTCTGTTAACTTGAAAGTGCTACTTTGCTTAAAGTCTTGGGCATGAGACTTGCCCTGCGTCCTACTTGTGTGGAATGGTCTGTCTTTAAATTTGCAATAAAATTCTGTCCTTATTTCTTCCAAAGTAAGTCCTGTTATATTCCTAAAGTACACTCCAAAGTAATGTAGGCCAGCAGCGATGATCATCACTTCAGCTTCCAACCAGTTTCTAACTTTCTGTCTCTAGGTAAAAGACTTAGTTGCTAGAACATACAGCAAATGGCAGCAAATGATACACAGTTCTCAGCTTATTCAGGTATGGTACAATTACATTTTCGTACAAATTATGACATATTATCAGTTAATAATAATGGCATAGAAATCAAACTTTCTGGAAAGATTTTTTTTTTGCCTTTTAAGAAGTAGAAACAATATAATAACTGGAGAATGGAGTAAAGGGATATGCAGTGTTGGATTTAGACCAATTAAGTTGATTTTAAAGCTGTGTTTACATGTCAAAAAATTTCCACTAATTAATTTAGAATTTCAAATCTGTTTTAAATATGTATATTTTTCCATCTAATTCCTTCTTTCATTATAGGGTCAGATCCATGACTTTTGGGTCCCAGATACTTAAAAAATAGAGGCTGGATGATCAAATGACCAAGAAAATGAGTGGGAAGACTACATTATTGTCTAAGAAGAGGCATTCTTATAAAGTGCACTTAACTTCCCCAATTACTTAATTGGGCAACTTTAGTAAACTGTATTTTTTAAAAGATCCATTTAACATTGAGAAAATTGCTTCTTTCTACATGATAATAATATCTGGTTTTTCTTAAGTCAATCTAAATTGGATGAATACATTTTTTTTTTAAATCAAGGCAGGATTATTTTGTCCTTTTTACAACAAATATGGTTCTTACATTCCTACTGTGAAGCAGAATTTAAAAACTATCATTGGTATTTGTATACAGTATTGAAGATGTGTCTCTGGTGACTTTACAATAGTATCAGTTATATGAATGTGGCTTTTAACTTGCATTATTAGCATATCAAATTAGTTTTTGAAGTGGGAAGAAACAGTAATTTGATGGATGACACAAAAACTAGACCTATAAAAATTGGAAAACAATTTATTATCTTAGAGTTTACTTCCAAGTAAATTTGGATAGCTGTAGCTTTATAGTTATAATAAAGGGGTTAAGAAATCAGTCCTAGCGAGTCCATATTGTTCAAATGTTAAAGATTGCTGGTTGTTCATACCTAACATTCAGGTATTCATAGATATCATATAGTAATAAATTGATGCAATAACTTGGTCAATCTTTTATAAAAGAATTAATGTATTCCTCTGTTTTATATTAGCGGTCCCCAGCCCTTCTAGCTTGATGGCCTGGCACCAAGTGGTGCTTGTGCTTGCTACAAAGCTCCATTTGCACGAGCAGAGGGTGCTTGCACTCGCTCGTGAAGCTCCACTCAAGCAGAACTTCGTGAGTGAAAGTGCCGTCCACTCTCACAAAGTGGAGTTTCACACACACCAGCTTGCCTATTTATTCCACAGTCCAGTTTCAAACCAGACCTGGGCCTAGAGGACCCCTAATTTATATAACTTTGGACCATGAATATGTATTATTCTATGACATGGACATAAAATATATAGTCCATAAATTTCAGATTTAATATTAATATAAATGTATGTATATATGTATGTGTGTAAATACTGTTTTTGTGCAGTTTTAATCTGAAAACTTGCACTGCCATACCTGTAAATAAAATATTAGAAGCCATACAAATTAAATGCTTTAGAAATAGTTTACATAAAATAATTGACTTTTATATTTACATTTAAATCAAGATAGTCATGTCAAATAAATGGCAAAATAAATGGTATACATTGCTATTATCTAAGTGTGTAATAAGCACCGATAAATCATTCAGGAATTTTATTTTTATTCAATGGATGGTGGTTTATGCTTCAGAAGTGTAAATTTGGTTCTGACTTTTAATGCTGTTGAGAGTTTCCTTAATTCCAATATAAACTTTTTAATGAAAAATGCAACTTTAGAAGGAATATGTTGTTGTTGTTGTTCAGATGGGGTACATTTTATTGATTCTTCCTGCATTCTGTGCCTAGGGTACAAATAATTCCTGTGTGCAATTAGAAATAATTTTTGTTCTCATGAGATGTTGTATACTTCCTCTGCATTCTCTTGGCTGCAGCACCTTAGATTGCATTGAAGACTATTCTAGAAAGTGTAGTAACTGCCAAGAGCTGAACGCTTAGGAAGACAGCTATCCTAATAGAAACAGCCTCATCTATCTGTATGGTCATAAAGCTTAGACAGAGGCTTTTTACTTAAAGCAGGAGTCTCCAAATTTGGCAACTTTAAGACTTGTGGACTTCAACTCCCAGAATTACCCAGCCAGCATGACTAGCTGAGGAATTCTAGGAGTTGAAGTCCACAAGTCTTAAAGTTGCCAAGTTTGGAGACCCCTGACTTTTGAATGAACTGTTGTGCCAATTTTTTAAAGAGAATACAGAAAATAACATTTCAATCATAATGTATATTGTGTATATTATGTAATGTGTATATATAATACACATGTACATTATGTATATTGTGTAATATCTATTATGTGAAGAAATACGATTTTTTTCTTTTTTATAGTTTTTCAAGAATGCTCAGATGAAACTTCCAATTTAATTACTTTAAGTGCAAGAATAACATCTACATTAAGATTGATTACATCTCTAAAATTCACAGTAAATTGCAAATATGTCATCCTTAGTATATTCTCAAAAAAAAAAAAAAAACAGGTATAATGAGGACAGAATCCCCCTTTTGCAAAAATAACATTTTAATTGTAGGGCCTTACAGCATTTGAAGTTAATTCTTTCCAGTTGTTTATATTCTTAAATATTAAACAACAGGCATGTTAGCATAGTTCTTACAAACTCTATAAGTGTAATCTCTCCAAAAAATGTTATTTATAGATCAGACTTCTCCAGCTATCTAAGTTTTTGGTACTCCTAATATTAAAAGTTTTGTTTTGTTTTGTCTTGGATGTGCATTTTTTTATTCAGGTTGCACAACCCAACTTGAGATTTATACAGTATATGAATGTATTGCTTACATGGAACTTAAGTTATAAAATATTTAATTCTTGCTTTAACAAGGTATGTGAACTAGGCTTTGTTTTTCACAAACCATGTATGTTCTAAGAAAAATTAATCCAAAAAGTAGAGAACCATAAAACAATGAAAACACAATACATTAGCTATGGTTGTGCTTTAGTTTTCTTAACTTTGTTATCTTCATGTGTGTTGGACCTTAACTCCCATAATATTCGTGTTAGAAAGACCAGTATAATATTCTGATTTCAAGTCTAAATAATACCTTTAGGCTTTTGGACATAAAAATAAAAGAATAATTGTTGGACACTAATGCAAAATACAAATACTTATCAAAGTTCAAAAGCATTGTAGGTGTAATTGTATACTTTGTACATAACATACTGAATCATAAATCAGCCAGGGATATTTTAGCTTAATGGATCCTGGACAAAGCTGAACAAGTAAATTGATTTAATGATAGCGATGTTCCCAAACTTTCTTTGACTTTCTTGGGCATCCTTAGTATCTCAGTAATATTTTTGTGGCATACTTAGGACAATCATATTAAGTAGTAACATAAACCCTGGGGTGCTGTGATGTAGTTTAGGAACTGCAGTAGTAAGATATGATTAAATTTTATCTTACTTCGATCCTATCAACAGCCCAACTCGGCAATCAAATAACAAAAATATAGCATTATCCCAATCTGTTCCTTTGTGAAGACCCCTACATTATCACCAAAATCTTATGAGAACTCACACATACATTCGCGCCCGCCCCCACAACCCCAAAGTTACTATTTTCTGTATCTAAAATGAAATAATTCTACCCACCTGCCTAGGAAGGGAGGAAGGGTAATAACGCTCACTGACTATTATTGACCAGCCTATTATAAGAGTCACCATGGAGCAGTGATTAGAATGCAGTACTACGGGATACTTCTGCTGACAGCCAAACGCCTGCAATTTGGCAGATCGAATCCCACCAGGCTCAAGGTTGACTCAGCCTTCCATCCTTCCGAGGTTGGTAAAGTGAGAACCCAGATTGTTGGGGGCAATATGCTGACTCTGTAAACCGCTTAGAGAGGGCTGTAAAAGCACTGTGAAGCGGTATATAAGTCTAAGTTCTACTGCTAAAAGATCCAGTTTTTTAGTTTGGTTTCGGTTTGGTTTATAATAAGATCCAATTTAGTTTCCAGTTGGACATGACTGGAAAGGGAAAACCTTCAGCTTTATAATAAGATCTCAGACTGGGAATCATTGTTACCTGGACACATTTTACATACTGTTACAGTACTCTAAAAAGTAAATTGCACATTTTGGTCCCAACCACCAAGATTATAACAGAATCAGCTACAACATTGATGATATTCCACGTGTCTTTCAAACCCTGGCTGTTGCTCAGGCTTTGGATAGAGTGTTCCAAGTAGCCCTATAGGTGATGATTGTGTCAGAGGGAGTGGGACACACATGATTTATTTGCTTTTTTTTTTTTTTTTACTTTTGATTTAAGCTGCCCAAATTTCAAATCAAATTTGTCCTATAGTCATAGACCAGCATAGCTGCCAAAGTTGTTTTGGAGTCAGGCAGCCTCTCCATCTGATACTATGGAGAGCAAGCAACTACAGAGAACAGGGCTTATACTAATATACTAGTATATTAATAATATACTACTGGAAGTATATATATGAGGGTCTTCTAGGCATGTTTCCATTATTGTTTTTATATAATAAGAGTTAAAATTAAGGGAAAGATTCCTAAGTGGAGTGTTAGAATGTCTTAATGATTTTATTCCTGATTTCCATCTGATGCACCTTTTTTCTGTTCTTCATGTACTTGCAAATGTTAGTGCAACTTTAAATTATGTACATGAAATTACAATTCAGATTCTTGTGCACATTTGCTTAATATATTGATTACAAAATGTGAATAATTTCCCTTCAGCCTCTCTTGAATCTAAACCTATAGACCCAGAAAATTTGTGAATGCATGGATAAAATTTATAGTGATGATTTAGACCAGACTTCAGTGGATTTATTGGGCTATTAGTATCAAAACTATTCTAGTTATTTCTTCTTAAAATAAACTCTTATGGCTTTGGATTTTTTCCCTTGCATAATTATAGATGTTTCTAATTATACAGCCAGTTAATTTTTATTTAATGCTGCTAGATATTTTGTTTTTACTAAGCTGTTTCTTGTTTGTGTTTGTACTGATGTAATATGTAATTAAAAACTTTTTAAAACAAATGTATTATCAAGTCACTCTGGTTGAAAACTGGAAATAGCATTGTACTGAAATTGAAAAGGAGGAAGTTAGGCTGCATTGTTATATAAGATAAGATTCAGCATTTTTAAAAATACTTTGCACTGGATTGTCAGAATTATGGATCATGAAACAATCACACAGTCCCCAAATTCATAAAAGTGAAACTGGGAACTTAGATGGAGCTCAGCCTCTCCTACTTGCCTCCAAAAGTTGTGGATGCTCCAACACTGGAGGCTTTTAAGAAGAGATTGGACAACCATGTGTCTGAAATGGTCTAGGGTTTCCTGCTTGAGCAGGGGGTTGGACTAGAAGACCTCCAAGGTCCCTTTCAATTCTGTTAATCTGTTATTCTGTTACTGTATAAGAACAGTTAAGAAGTTGGACAGGGTGTTCCTGATGGCCCAACTGTTAAGAGCTCAAATCTTGCTCTATTTTCTCAGATCTTTAAACTTTTGTTTTGCCTAGAGCCGGATGTCAAACTTGCAATGTCGTGTTGCCGTCATGTGATGTATCGTGACAGTTTTCCCCGTCGCAGAGCTGGGGTGGGTGTAGTCTGCATGTGACGCCACCCGTTTGATACCCTAGAGCAGGGGTCGCCAACCTTTTGGACCTCGGACCACCAAACTCATAATTTTAAATACCGCAGACCACTAATACGAATTTTGACTGATGGTGGCTTGCTGATGTTGGTGAGGGAGGAGAGAGAGAG